AGGAAGCCCCAAGTTCTTACGACATTCGGTCGGCATTTCTCAAAAACGCTCAAACACGTAGCAACGGTCGGCCAGAATTATCGTTCGACCGGAAGACAATCGAAAAGCAGGAACGTAGCACTGAAAATCACATTCTGAAATTACGGCAACGCCAAAAGCAGCTTCCTGGAATCGAAACGACCTTGTCGCGAGGTTAGAACCCGCCGTCGAAGAACGCACGTCGTCTAAATAATATTTAGTAATCAGTCCTTACCGCAAAGAAAACGCTCACTCAAAGAAACCTAATTAATACGCACACGTGAATTATTACATCAATTATTTTGATTCCTTAAATTGTGGCGGCCGATTCCAGAACAACTTCGCAATGACAAGAAAATGTAATTCGGTCTTTTGTTTCAAACACAGGCTCAGCTGTCGAACGGGAGGAAGGACGAGCCCGACACCTCCCGGACACACGAGACAGCCTTCGGTCCCCCTGCCCTACCAACGACACGAACGTCTTTCTGTGTACTTATCGAAAGTCACAAAACATTCGGCATAAGAAACGCAAAATACGGCCGAATTAAGCACCAGCCAATCCCAGAAGAGCCAACTTCGAGCAGTCGGCGTTAGAAGCCGAAAGCGAGTCGCGTAATCTGCAATTGCCAAATCAGAGGAGAAACACGTGGCTGCGACAAACGAGCGTGCACTGGCCGTGCCCACAGCCACCGCCGCCTCGCGTCAATCAATACCGGGAGCGGAGCGCCCACGACTGGCTCTCGGCTCTCGTTCCCATCCCAAGGCCGACTGACGTCCGTCCCGCTCGCGGATGAAAAGTGCGCAGCCCCGAGGAGTTCTTCCTTCGTTTTGCAGGCGATCTAGAGAACCCTGCCGCCTCCACATTCAAGGCTGAAGTGAAAGAGAGGTCGTCGCTTCCTTCGTGAGTAAATGAACGAACACGCGAGTGTCCTCTGCCCGCGGGCTCTAAGTTTAACCCGCAGCTTTTGGAATCAGAAAGCCCGAGAACGACGGGCGTCTGCATTCCGCCGAAGTGCCGAGTCCCACCTCGGTCTACGCGGCCCATCCGATTGTTACGTCTGTCACAAACTAAGCTCACACTTGAAACTGTCGCTCGCCCTTCGGCCCTTGGACTGCGACTGATCAGGTGAGCCGCCTCCTGTCAAATTTCTGCCAAGGTTTCGCTTCCTTTCATCCATCATAAATGGGCCACCGGAAAAGAAAAAACATGCACGCACCGAGTGCACTCAGTATCGGCGTAGTGCGCGCGCGCGCAAACGGTCCACTCTGTGCCCAGAAATATTTCCGACGCTTCAACGAAGCCAGAGAATTGGGGTACCAAAATACGAGGCTCGCAGTTCACGACGCAGGACCGAAACGTCTCGCGGTGTTAATGTCCATCTCAAGACCGCGTTACCTCGAAAACTACGCGTCACAAACAATTGGTCGGCGTTCGGGCGTGATGACGTAACAACATTCGAGCAGACGAGTGAGCGCGCGGTTTCCGATTTTCTTTAATTCGGGCATTTTCACAGTTCATTATTTATTCACGCTCTGGGCACGTGACACTCGATCTCTGACTTGTGGGGGGAGGGGGGGTCACGGGCGCACCGCCGAATACTTTTGACTAATTCCGGGATTTGGCGTTCTTCTAATTCCCAATGCGGATTTAATTAAAACGCATTTCGCTGTATTTTATTGGGAGGGGGGAAGTATAGAATCGAATCAAATTTGAAACTTAAAATTTATTAAAACTGGAGCATCACTTCCTGAAATCGTGCTGCCTTCATTATCGCCCCGATGATGAAGGCAGCAGGCACTTCTACCACACAATGTGGCGCAACAACTGAGAAGACAGCAATCTTTAATCTTAAATCTCTTTCAAAATGCCTGCTTGAGCTCCCAACCACGAGGCAAATTCGGAAGGCCCTTGCATTAGCTGCAATGAGAGATTTCGTGAAAATAAGATTAATCCCCCAAGAACTGGTTTGAACGGCGTCACAACGAACTCAAGTGACGGCCGAAAGCCACTTCCTGCTTCCTATTCACTCGGGATGCCATGGGTTCAAAGCTCGGCCCGGAAAAAGGCTAACGTTCCGGGCGACCGTCCCTTGCAAATTAATTATTTACGGCTCGCCTAAACACGCATTTTCTTACAAGGGGTCAACACGCGAAAACAGCTGAAACGCGCTAATGCATTGGGAGTGAGTTCTTAACATCTCAACAGGATCTCACAAGGCGTCGAGCTGTGGACGTAGCCACATTATTATTATTATTATTATTATTATTATATCATTTATTTTGCCAGGAGTACCAAATTAACGCCAAGATACAAATATTATTGCCAGCAAACAGTTACTTGATAATAAGAGAGAGGCGCACGCGGCATCAGAATACCGACATTATAGTAAGACAGAAGATTCACGATTATCCAAAGTACATTTAATTAATTCTAAAAATGTACTGTAAAGGCCAAAACGTTTGAAAAGCACTGAATAAATTCAATAACACAATATTTGACGTACTAACACGAATCAATTGTTGCTAAAGCCTGGTTCACAACAACATGACGTTGTTACGTACTAACCGTTGAAATCCTTTTTAAAAATAGTTGATAAATACTGTGTTAAGTTTTATATAAAATCCTTCCTGTTATCAATAAATGCTTAAAAATTTAACTACTGTAAATCTAAAAACAAACTTACGCATTTGTTACATTTGCGTGCTTTTCTATTATTTTTGCGTATTAACCGCGGCTTCGATTGTCAATACACCAACCAAATCTCATAATCGGGGGGGGGGGGGGGGGGGGCGACGCCCTATGTACTGTGCATAAAGGAATGTCGAAGCTTCTCTTAATTTTGCAAACTCTACACGAAAACACTATTATGCAAACAAAAATCAATAGACAACTAAAACATTTGCGGTCAAGCAATGTTAAGAAAATCATGTAGCTCCATTGAGAACTTTAGAGGAAAAACAATTCGACACTAAACAAAACACACACACACGACTATTCGTAACCCAATACGGTACGTCACAAAATTTACTGACTTCACACCCCCCTGACCTATTTCTTAAACACCCGTTTTTAATACTATGTACCGAAAGTCTGCCCAAAACGATGAATTTCTTAAAGTACCCGTGCATTCCACATACACTGGATTTGCTCATGCAACACAAATTAAAAACTCCTTGCAACCCAATTTTCTAGTCTCCTCTTCGCAAGGCACAACTCTCTTTTCAAAGCGTACTTTTATCAATGGTACGTAACGGAAGTATAACACCACAAATATCAGTTTCATCATCACTCATGCACACGCACGTCCGTAAGTCTTAATGGCCACACACGATTTGCGAAATGTGCATTCGGAGTAAAGATACAATGTTTCATACTCCACGAACACAGCCACTTCAATTTATTTTGCAAGACATACGATGGGGAATTGCCAAGAATAACTTTCACAGAAACTTACAGAATGTTGTAATAACGAAGTCCTACCCGTAGTTCGCCTTTATTAGCCACAAACTTCAAACACAACCATTTCTGTGAAGAACAGAGACTGAAATAACCATTCTCACCCGACCCTCGGACTCCGAACAAGACCTGTACGACGTTCCCTCCCGCCACTTTTCGTCTGCTACTACTACTACTACTGTCAATCCAAACACATCGTTGCCACGTCATAGTATGGAAGCAGTCAAACCCATTACGTTTGCACTACTTATGGAACTTCCCTTTGCAACACACGGCCTTTACACTAATAATAAACAAAACTTGATAGTAAGGTCAGCTATTTCAGAAGTTTCCCTGTGAGGTTTACAGACAGAGGTCATATTGCAACATCGCATTTGGAACTGGCAGCCGGTATAGTGTTTCTTTACTGGTGCGATAGGGAGCAGCACTTTCTTGTAACTATCCTGCTACTGAATATGTGTGTATGTTGTGTGTGTCCTGAACATGGGTAAACGTCGGACGTAAGTGCCTTCACAATACTAAGACAATTTCCGGCACTGTCATTCATACATGCCGCTGCAAACAGTAAATACAACAACATAAGTTGGCAAATATTGCATTTCTAATTGCTGTATTACTAACGTATAAGGTGAAGCAGTATTACTAATTTTGTATATTGGCCTACCTTTAATCGTATTCATGTACGTAACGCGCATAATCAATATCAAATACAACTGCTACAAAACAAAAAACACACAAAATACAACAAAGTATGAACTAACATTTCAACAGTTAATACAATTCTCAGCGATTTTGTTTCCTCATTGCTAAAATCGACAGAACTACAAAATGTTATGGGTTCAACATTAGTCATATAATTACAAAAGTATCTATTTTGCTTGGTTTGACAAAGAGTCGTATGTCTTCTGAGATAACACCAGTTAAACCTAAAGCTTTATACATACACCTCAATGACATTCGACATTATTACTTCATCATGCATCTGGGTTAGGTTAGTTTTCCAAACCCCCTTGACAAAATAATCATCATATGGCATGATCTGCGTACGCGTCCGCAGTCAACCCGCTAGCAGGTGACGAGTGTGGAAGGCAGATGACCTTTAACGTTCAACCAGGCCAGGCTGGTATTTCATTCAAATTTTCAAATAAATGTAAATATTTTTGCTTACTTTATACATTTTTCTAGCAATGTAAACATTCGAGAACATTTATAACCACATCTGAATGCCAAACAACCTCAAACCACACGGGAATTGAATTTCTTACGGCGTCGTTGACAAATTGGGGCACTGCTCCAGAAAGGTGCGAATTGCGTACTCTCATACCGGGCTAGGCGAAGCGTGACATTATAGACAGATGAAACTTCAATATTTTCCAACACCAACACTAATATGAAGCAAATAATTCTGGTACCATTTTTTAAATATATATTTCGTCTCTTGTTGACAAAATGCTGACACCGTGTCTTCTATGGCTATAATTTGACTTCGTTTTCTTAGGCTATGATACTTCTGAAATCATCTTACCAGAGCGAAGAAATTTGTATGGCAGTCTTCCAAACTTGCGCCGTTTGTTTGATGATTTGGATGCGTCATGGTTTCTCCATCATCTTATATTTCATTTAAATCACTAGCCACACGATTTACGTACTAATAACCACTCGAAATCTGATAATATACACGAACACTCAGGAGAGTTTTCACCTTTCAATGGCGACTGCAAAATGGCGGATAGGAAACAACAAGCGCAGACACTCTGGAATTTCTATTGGTTAACAATCGTCACGTGGTACAACTAAGATGGTATCATGGCGGCGTTCATAAGGCATGGACTGGTGAAAGGAGGGCAAGAAAGAAACATATACGAAAATATATTAATGGTTAGAAACACTGTCATATTTTATTACCATATAAGTTTCACATTAACTTTTTTCTCTAAAGTAATGGCTATTTTGCTTATCCTAAATGCAAAGATACTCTCTGAAATTCCTGTAAGTTGCAGATAATGTCAAGAAACAAATCTGGCTATAAACCATCCAGTAAGATGCCATACAATAGGAGAAAGAAGCAACCACAAGCAATAAAACTTGATTCTACTGGAGAATCTATTGCATCTAAAGGGTACAGTGTATAACAGAATAAATAAGTCATAACACCTGTATGTGGTATCAGCAGAATAACTTAAATGTTATTGAAGTTAATAAAAGAATGTTTATTGCTAACAGTGGATCTGTCTCTCTTGCAGGTTTCATCGACCACAGACGCATTATAATCCGCCCCAAGATGTTGCAGACAGAATAAATTCTGTTTATAAAATAGTGACAGGCTTGACCAGTGTTTCAGATGCTCGGTTAAATATTCCAGAAGTTAAATTCAGATTCTTAAATGCCTGTTTTCAAGAATTTCAGTATAGTGTTCCAAATTCTCTCCTTTCTACCATGTTTACTGTTGGTAAGAAAGATGTATGTTGACATTGTCAGTATTTTTCTCCTTGTAATGATTTGAGTTTTAAATATTCTTGTCTTCATTGTAGATGATGTTGTGGAATTTTACAAGACTCCTGTTGACAAAATAGCTCCACTTGATGCATTGAACAGCATGAAATTACCTGAAAACCTCCACATTCAAACTGAATATCATCGCTTCCACCCAGGTAATTTATAAGTATTCAGAAACTGCCAGTTTTGACATACATATAATAATATTTTCTGTTTTTATAAAGGACCCAGCAATAATTATGATAATTTGGTAACTTGGTTTTATTTCTATTCTGCAAATACTGGAGCAGAAACTTCCAGTATGTTATCTCCATCCCATTCTAATTTGTTAGGAGAGTATGAAACAACACTGAATACTCGATTACTTCAACAAATCATGGTTGCATTAACATGCATAGAATTTGATTTGGTGCCCACTTCTAGTCATTACTTAAGTTTACTAAATGTCCTAGTAGTGTCGTCTGGTATACCTTGCAGTGCTGTGACATTCTCCCATATGTAGGCTGTGCAGACATCTGTATGGGATCATTAAAAATGCTCTCTTCAAAGTTCCTTCATGTATGAGGGTTAGAGAATGCAAAGGATTAAAAAATTCAGTTCCTCAGGAAAGAAACAGGATGTGCTAGAGTTAATCTGGCCATGGAATTTTCTGATAACTAACAACATGATAAAGACATTTTCAGGTATATCAACTGCTATTTTGCTGACTTAACCTGAAAATGGACAGAAGGAAACTGTTCTCTGTGACATGTAATCAGATGCAAGTGCCTCCATGTCTTTAGTGGGCTACCTTAGACTGTAGGCATACAGTAAGGCACCGCACATACGGCAGGTTAGGGACCAGACCCCCGCTGAAAAGCAGATCTTTGCCTTTTTTCAATTGCAAATGCATATCAAAGCCTAATAAGATATTTACACTATCATATAGTAAGTTCACAATAGCTAGGCCTAAGAAAACAATATGAAAGTAAAATGAATATCAGTAGTAGCTGTAAACAGACTGAATCAGACGAGAAAATGGCGCCGGACGCACTTCTCTGACTCAGCTGTTGAGCGCGTGGGGCATATGCACGCAATTGAAAAGCGCCGTATTAGCGGATCGCCGAAAAGTGGGGCCCTACTGTACTTACCATTGTCTTCAGTATTGATCATTTCTGACATGAAGACTTTAGAATGAAAGAAATCCTTGGTCTCTACACTAAGTTTGTATTTTATGTTTCAGAAACGGACACAATGTTTGGTGGAATTAGTGCATTTCCAAAAAGTTCAACAATTGTCACTGGCTTAAAATACAAGAAGAAGTATAAAGGATATGATGCTGAATCACCATGGGCCAAGTACTTTTAATAGTGAGAACTGTAGCATTTATGTTCAAGAATATCACTTACCATCATTTATAAATTCCAGTGTCTACAGTGAATCAGACTACTTACCTTAGTTATGTGACAGTGCCAGTTTATTTTGTGTTATGTTTACATATGGTAGAGTAGTCACCAAGCAAACTTGACTGTAGAAGATGCTGAACAGAACTTCATCCAGACTCAGCAAAGTAACAGTTTAGCAGGTTAAGAGACATTATAACATATGTTGCAGGCTATACATTGTATTTGTTACATATGATTTGAAGCTTGATTTGCTTGTAATATTTATAGAAATGAAGACAAGAACTTGCATGTGAAACTGTGCTTTTCACTCAACAATCAGTTGTTAATACATTTTAGTGAAAAAATTGGAAAATACATTGGATTGCAGTTTGCTCTAGTGTATTTTGGCAATAAGAAGATAAATAGGTCAGCATAAATGAATAAAACGTATGTTGAATAGATACGCCTATGTTTATATATTGTCTGTGATCCATTGTCACACTTATCGCAGCAATATTTATGGTAACACTTGCGTAATATATGTATTATATGGGTACATACTTTGTCAGCTAAAAGCATTCAGAATGCACAACAAAACTTAATGTAAGCTCATGCAGATTACACATTTCCAGTTTTTCTTTTAGGATTTTTGGAAGAATAATTCCTATCAAAATGTTTTTCTTCAGAATTAAAGTCTCTCTTCCACAAAATAATAAAGGAAGCAATGAAATTTGACTGTATGACATTTTATTTCAAACAGTTTGTTTTCATTTGTAACAATTCTCTCAAACTTCAGCAACAATGCCTGCCATAAGTGTGACACTTTCGAATCATTGCATATGTTCTGCATGTTGAAATTTAGCCTTTCTTCCTTGTACTTTCAAATCACATTTTACACATTGGAAGACATCAGCTTTATGACTCGACTCTCATTCTTAAGTTACACTCAGGTTAGTAACTTTGCCTTCTGACAACCAATGAACTCAGTACAGTAAAGCAAATATGTATGATCAGCTGCAGTCTTGAACAAAATTACAAATCTTTAAGAGCAGAAGGAATACCTTTGATGTAAAAATTCATAATGAATTAAACTGACTGAACTGCAAAACTATTGGTAGCCTCCCTCCAATAGAGTTTAACAACTCTACTATGTCCTGCTGTCATACTTGCAGTCCCATTACTTTTAATTTCTTTGCAATCACTCCACTGTAACATATCTTCCAACTATGCATTCTCTCAAATGCATATGGCAAGCTGGCCCACAAGCCATGGTGCATGACCAATTAAGGATAATTAATTTAATGCAGTATAAGGAATAAATAATCCATACTCATTTATATCATGATGTGTATAAAATTTCCTCCTCTAAATTGATATTTCAGAATTCATCATACTCGGTGTAATGAATGCATCTTGTACTTTAAAACAAACTGTAATTCCAAACATTCGTTTTCAATTAACCTTTCTTGTCCATGTGTCACAGCTTGTGCACTGATACAGTTGACTGTGCATTGCTAAACCAATAACCCTATACTTAATGCCCAGCCAGCAGCCATTATTATGGAGGTTTAAAGCCCTTATTCCAGTACAATAAATGTTAGCAAGTGTGATTATTAGAGCTTGTATTCTGTGTATTCATACTGTAAACAACCACCTTCATACAGTAAAACACTTCTGTGTAAGTTTTACCAGAGCAAAACAATTCACATGTGATAATATAAAATAATATTTTACATATCTTCAATCTATGCATATAATTTAATTATTACATTGCATGTATGAGCCGGGATAACTCAGTCAGTATAGTGACTAGCTACAAGCTGGACGGCCGGGGTTCGATCCCCGACGGGGGCAGAGGATTTTTCCTCTAGCCTCTCCGTCCAGACCGGCTCTGGAGCCCACCCTGCTATACCTCCACTCACCCCAAGCGCCTTTACAGCACGTAGTGGGACAAACTTTACTTTAATTTTACTTTTACATTGCATGTGTTACAATGTTATGGCACTTAGTGTATAGGTTTCTTAAATCTAGGTAATTTCCTCAGGAAACACTGACAGTTTTTTAACAAACAGTACATCAAATAAATTAAAAAGAAAACATTCAGAAATACTTCCCATCTGAATTTAATTTTTCTATAACAATGCCAATTTAAATGGTTTAAGTCATCATGTAATATGTCTTAGAAACAACATTCTGCAAGCAGTTAAAAAATAAAAGGTTTAACTTAACCAGTTTTGAGTGCAAACACTATGCTATGAAAGCTGAATATTAGTTAAATCATATGAGGTTCATCGTTCAGAGTGGCATAACACCAATTTCTTTCGGTTTCAGCAGACCTGAACCATCACGGTTCTTTCATATGTACAAAATTAAAATAAAGTTTTACTCTTGGTTTTGTGTAATACTGGCTATAATGGAATTTCTTTCACATCTTGTGGCCTGTCAACATCCTGAACACGTGAGAATGTTTTTCAACTTATCACACATGTTATTACATATACATCAAGACTGCCCTGGTAATTTCCACCATCTGTTGGGATCCTTTTTTTTATTATTTCTTTCCAAAGTTTTTATTGCTGAAGAATCGTGTGTATAAAGAAAGATGCAAATATTTGCTAGCAGTAAATTTTGTTGGTACTAAGAAGTTATATATCCTTCAAACTGCTTAAAAGATAAAAGTTACTGAACGTTACATATCGCCGATTGTGCCACTTTTGAATTAATCCCATAAAACCCATCCAAGAAGGAGCCAAACATTCACATACAGGTATCTGCATCCCTGTCAGGGCAGATACATTAGTAAAGATGTGAGAATCACAACTGATACAGACTTAATATGGAGAATTACAATAACTGAATTATACAATATCTGAACCTTCACTTGCTGACTACAGCAGAAAACAAGGTGAAGACACTAAGCAACATTCTACAGATGACAAAATACCTTTATGCAACATGTGCTTATGTGCCTGAGGTAGAAAGAGACTTGTATGCATAAAACCTATATTCCAAACATACCTAAATATAAACAGTTATAATGAAGATTATTAAAGAAAGAAACAATATTGCTCTAGTGTCACAAGAGTGTTTCCATTTTCAGATCTAACTGAACAACACTTGTAAACCTTACACTGAATCAGAACAAATTCTTGTGTCACTGCATTTTTTAACTTGTGCATTCAGGCAGTTGGGCAGAAACCATCTTCATTTTGATGAGAACTTGAACATACCCTTCTTTAAGGTTTTGGTTTCTCCTGCCTGTAAACAGAGAATAAATATTCTCCAGTATCAACAAAAGTTATTTTTGAATATTCACAATTCTGATACAGTTGTCATTTTAATTTAATATTCAGCGATAATTGTGGAGACTGCAAGTACATACGGGAATCTGCATTTGAGGCAACGTTCTTAAGTCAACTGCTACTAGGCAATCCAAAAAGCCTAAAATGCATAGCATCAATGAAATATAGCATTTCTGAGGTTAATATGTAACAATGGATGAACAAAAAATGATCGTTTCATCTGTAAGTAGTACCATTATTTTATCTCAAATCTACTTCACAGAGGGGATGAGATGTTTTCCTATTATCAGGTAAATATGACAGTATGGAATGCAGAAGAGGCAAGCCCAGTTAGTCTCTTTACATCATAACATGTTGGCCCACTCTGACAATACTAGCTTGAAGACCTATAATATTTTGTTAAATATACCGCAGATTTAAACATTTTTAAAATGACCCTTCTAAAAAGATGAGCATAAACAACTACGTTTATCTGCCAATATATGTTATTTGTTATGTGGTAATAATGACGTGAAGTGTGATTTATGTAGTATACCCGTGGTTTGTATCAAAAGCAGCTTTTCTCCATATTGTTACCCTTCATAGGTCAGTGGTCACAATGTACACATACCACCTATGTTTACACTCATAAATCTGCATGGGTTTTATTTGCTTCTCCTAACAAAGAGCAAATAATTTCCAGAAAGGCATTTATACACTTACATTTGTAATGGTGGTGTGTTTTATTAAAGGAAATCATCTCATTTTTAAATATTAAGCCTAATTTACACAGTTTTCCTCCTTTAAAGGGGAACATAAAGCAGAAAGCAGCTGATGGCAGCCCTGTTCTTACCATTAGTCTGGATCCAAACAACATCCTTGCCTTATCTTCCTCCTGTGGAGATGCTCCCTCATCTGCTGATCCTCTATTCATTTTTATCTGTAATTTCTGCTTGATGGCCTATAAGTAAAATGATTTTTAAACAATGATTTATGATGTCATTATGTATTCACACATTAATCTATTACCAGTAAATCTATGAAGAATATTGCGTTAGTTAGTATATTTAGAATGAAAAGTGTAGTCAACCATTGGAATACCTGACCTGCGACAGAATTACATGTCTGCTGTCACTCTTCATGGCCAGCAGGAGATCAAGCCACGTCCAGGTGACATTGTGGTACTCTAGGGTGGGAATAACAAGGCTAAAGTCCCGAATGTCCTCCAGATTCTTCTCTTTGTTTCCTTTGTAACTAACTCTGACAGGAACTTCTGGAATCTTTATGTAAATGAACAATTTATTCTTCTCTGCTCGTTCCTATTAAAAACAAACGCCAAATTTAGAATAATATTACCTGAAACTGAGCTCTGCAACTTTAAAATGAAAGCTAGAATGAATAAACAAGTAATGTATGTGGAGCTTCTGCATAGATATTCTAGGAACATGGCCATTTGAAAGACCAAGAAGGAGATGTGCGCATAACATTTAGATGAGGCCTAAAAGGAAATGAGTTGTGCAGACGGGACGTGGATGAAAGAGGCTCAGGGTTATGTCCACATTTCAAATTTGGGTTATCCCTTCTGATCCCTTTTACCGGCTCAAGATTCTAAAATGGCACAGTATGAACAAATAAAGTACCTATATTGAAATAATACATCTAAATAAATACCACTACACAAATCTGTCAGATGGTGTCCTATCTTCAGCAGTATGTAATGGCGTGGTACAATGACAATGTTTGTGTTCATAAACGGAAGACCTTACAAAACTGTACCAACACGAAACATGAGGGAACAAATTCCTTTAGTAAAGAATTAAAAATAAAGAGTTGTATGTCTAATATTTTAGAGTTATTTGAACACATTCCATCTTGTCAGTCTATTAATTCAACTACAGATGTTACATGGCACAAACATAGTTGTAAAAATTATCACAGAGTCTTGTCATTTACCTGACATACTGAGGAAAGCCATTGGAAAAAGTGAAGGATCATCATCAAATTAGTACCCTCTTTGAAACAGCTTCCTCAAATGTACATATTAATAACTATATTTAATAAAAAGAAACTCTACATGAGGAAGCTTACAACTTCACACTTAATTTGCAATTTCCATATTCATGACTGAGCAGTACTTCACCTTCATCTTTTCAACATCGTCTTTCTGTTCTATTGGAACGTAGAAGTTTGTTTCTTTGCTCTTCTTGGTTCCTTTGAGTTTTTTTCCCTTGCTATCAGCATCAATATCATCAGAGCCATCACCATCTATAGTCTCAGGGTCACGTTCAGGAAAGCAAAATTTTAACATAGTATTGAAAAACTTCTTTGTGAGACCTAAAAAAGACAAAGCGCTTATATAATGCTTGTGAATGTTTTGGCTAAACAATGAGCATATCAGTTGCCTTTGAACTAATACTAACCTATTGTAAGGGGAACCACATTAATCTCGAAGTGTTCCTTCACAGATATGCCGCCAACTGGCGCTTTCTCTCGGCAAAAGACGCGGACAGCACGCTGAAACATTCATTTCACACTTAGTCTTAAGCATTAAAAGAATTTTAAAAGTTCTATGAAATGAACTTTAAACAAAGAAGATCCTTATATAATACTTCCTCAGAGCTGGGTCCACCTCCATGTGCGATATTAGCACACTTTATGAACTAGTCACAACTCACTACAGTCATCAAGATAAAACATTTGTCGCCATCTTGATGGCAGTCTATACGCAAAGTATTGACCTGTGTTCTCAACTGACAATCAAAGAATATCAACTGTGACTGCATACATAACTTGGACAAATGATCTAATCTTCTAATCTCTAATCTAAATAATCTTTAATTTCATTTTTGCACTATTTGAAAATAGGTATGATGCACCACCACAAACACACACAGCTTCCTATCTGATACTCTGCACATTTAATGGAGTGAATATTGTGAGTGAGAATGGGACTTACCTTCCTGTCAACAGGCATGTTACTCTGAATCTCAGTAGGAGACAACACTTCTTTATAAACCTGGTTTGGCAACAGGTTCATCATTCTTGAATCTCAGTAGGAGATAACACTTCTTTATAGACCTGGTTTGGCAACAGGTTCATCATTCGCACATAGCCCAGTTCAAGTAAGTGTTCTCCTGAATCATCACTTTTCGAATTCTTTGTGTACCTGTGTATATAAGGAACTTCGTGTTATCTACCATATTTGCAATATGTAACAGGTGACAAAATGTTATATGACACACAGGAAACATTTGAGTGCCGAGGCTAATAAAGGGGACAGAAAACACAAATAATCAAACTGTGGTTTCTTGGCTTACATAGGGTCTCCGCACAGGGTAATGTCAAATTGAGGGATTTATGTGAGCAAAGTGAAAAGAAACACCTATGGCCGAGCAACTAACTGAAAAGATTACTAAAAGTCACATAAAAACCTGTCAGGGTATGGCTTTCATGGTGAGCATCAAACTCAGGACCTTTAAAATAAAAAGCAGAAGTGTTTACCACCAAAAACCATGCCTTTTATACTAGCATATTTGAGAAAAAGGATGCTCCAAAAAAGGAATCTTATGCAGTTTCACTTGCAAGTAAACTTAACATATCTCTAAGACTTCTAATTTTATACAAATAGATAAAACTGTTCAGAACAATCTGTTGCTCTTGCACTCGGAGCATCCATTCATCCATTCTAGCAATACACACTTTGTATAAGCTTGACAACATGGATAAATGAAAACTGCTCATAATCTCTTGAAGCATGATAGGCCACCTGAAAGAGAGGCAACTGTAACAAAACAATGCTGTTACTTCTGAAGATAAGGACAACAAAAATCTAAGAAAAAATACATTATTAGAGGAACATTTTTGATATTTCCAGCACAATAAATGAACTGTTCCCAATGCCATCTTACAGAGTAAACGTAACTACAATACAGCTCAATGTAAGAAAACAAAACTGTGGGCAGTGCCATTAGAAATTAGAGATGCAACAGTCATAACTTTGTGACAGAAATATAAACAAGGCTATGAAAATGTTAACAAACTTACTGTAAGAGCAAGGCGTAGATGAATAGCTACAGACAAAGAAGAGTGGATACAGATGCAATGGGCATGACTGAGGAAAGAGAGAAGAATATAGAACAGTTATGATGATGTAACTTTTACTTACAGAAAGTTGCTGAGCACAAGATCTGCAATCCCTAACTGACCATCAGCTTCTGTAAGTCGCCACTGAGCATGCTTGAAGCATATCTCATTGGCCCTGACCGTTGTGACAGGCTTGTCACCACGCATGGTTGCTAGCTTCTGATTGGCTGACAGCTGCGTCTCCTTGTAACACGACAGCATCATGTCCAGTTCTTCGCTCTGGGAATTCAGGAGTTCTTTGCACTCGAAGACCTGTAAGCATATAACAGCAAATTGTATGAAGTCTGCTGGCTTTTTTGCCTGTTTGATTGCATTCACACATAGTTAAAGTTCTCATAAATGATGCTAGATGAGTGCGGCTATTACTTGCCAGCTTACAGAAGTATATCTAATATGGGTAATGAAAACAATCAAGTAATGTGCTATGTAGCAGGGATATTTGTCATCATTGTTCTATGTTGAAAGGGATGGGAAAGAAATATGGGAGGAAGGACACAAAAAGATAAAGTGTGAAAGAAAGAAAAAAGAAGGAACAAAAGGGCTGAGGGATGAAGATGGCACAGTCATATCTCAAGAATGACTGAAGAGAGAATTCCAGAAAAGGCTAAGAAAATTAAAGCAAAAAGAAAACACACAAGAGATTATGATGGACACAAGTTAGGAAAGGAAGGGAAAAAGTGAGGATGAGGACGAGCCGTGAGAAAACAGAGGGGCAGACGGGCTTAGTTGCTGGATGACCGCCATAAAGTGGAAATAAATTTGAAGAAAGAATCAGAAGTATCAAATGCAGCAAATCCTTTCTACTGCTCATGCCAGATCCTTTATCTTCATGTATCTCGTTCAGAGACCTACAAAACACGCACGTCTACAATTGTACGTGTAGTTTCGTATGGGTATGGGACTTGGCAACTTTTATAACATAACACAGCTTGCAGGATTTGAGGTTTTCATGGTGGTGAGTCTGAAGATGACTGTCTTCTGGGATGTTGCACTGTGTAGTCTGGTAGAAGTGACAGCCATCTTCAGAACAAAGCTTGAATGCTAAGAATACTGTCAGGGTGATTAAATTAATGAGGATGGGAACATGAAGCATGGCTCCACTGTGAATGTCCCCTATTATCTGTCCAAACCCTCGCATATACCGGAGAAATAGATTCATGGAATACAAATCTTATTATTGCTACCTGTGAACTGTGTACTGACCTGTCGCTCCAAATCATCCATCTCTATCATTAATTCTTCATTGACTGGGTCTTCTGCAAGAGCTCGCTGAATCAAATGAGTTTTCTTCTCAAGGCGGCGCAATTTTGATACTAGGGATCTAGAAATTGAACCACAATCTATGTGATTATGCAGCATGTTCCAAAAGTCATACACCATAAAAAAATATCATCTTCAAAATAAAAGTAGATAATTATATATTAACAAATGCTACCAATGCACATCCAAAGACAACAATTAATGTTGTTTTTGTCCATGCAAACTCAAAACACAGTGGCCATCCAGTTTTTTCGCTGTTGTCAGTATAAAGTAATGAGATTAAAAGGATAAATTACATAAATGCATACACAGCCATTGTATCTGCAAGTTCAGAGACATAATATGCACGCACGAGTTCATTAATATCACAGTCAAAATTCCTGTCTGTCCACCAACTGCCACTCCTCATTCTGCTGAATGGAGTCCCTTCATCTGTCAAACTTCCAATCTTCCTTCCCTCCCTCTTCCTAGTGCCATCCGTTCCAGGACTTGCTACAGCCACATGCTGTCGCCATTCTCTGGATATGTCTGCACCATATTAATTGTTTTGTTTTTATATCATCCCATTTTTTCTCTATTACATGACTTAGGTTTTGTTTATCCTTGATATTCTTGCTGATTATCTCCAAAAATACATTTATTGTTTCAATAAATTTTTGTTTTCTCCTTGAATTGCAATGCTTTTGAACCATTCTGCACAATATTTTAATTACTGTCTTGTAAATGTTTTGTCCATGCACTGTCATTAAAATGTTTTATACGTTTTTCCTTGTCTGCATATTTATCTCGTTATACACAGTGACTGCTGTGCTCTTGCCATCACATTCTCAAATAAAGTGGTAGACATTTATTCTTATATGCTGTGAATATTCTATTCATGCTTCAAATTTGGAATCTGCAATACAAAATCTGACCAGCTATGGACAATCAACACACAAAGAAAAGATGTTGTTAAAACAATGATTATCTAAAGGTCTGTGATACCAATGTACAGAGTGCTGGGTGATTTAATGTCAGTTCTCAACGATCTTATTCCTAAGGTCATTCTCAGTCAGAAATGTTGTATAAACATGTGTCTGATACTCAGTGGTTATAGAACTATGGACAGAAAATAAAGATAATTTGGAAGACACAAAAACATGATTACAGATCTACTTCCAGTATGAGAGAGTGCCCTATGTTTTAGTCAACAAATGACAGACCCTTTAAAATTAGTTCCCTGATGCAAGGGTTGCTCATACTGGTCCACAGATTTGACCACTGCAGTCAATGGAACTGACTCTGCTAGATTTCTGCAAATGCAGATACATGAAAACCTCATACATGAGGGGGGAGAGAGAGAGAGAGAGAGAGAGAGAGAGAGAGAGAGAGAGAGAGAGAGAGAGAGAGAGAGAGAGAGAGAGAGAGAGGAGGTGCAATGACTTTTCTATGCTTCAAGATGCGTGAATACCCCTGATATACTACATAAGGTCAAAATCATATTTAATTTCAAATACCCATAGCTCCATAACCATTGACAATCAGATCTATGTTCATACAACATTTCTGACTGGGAGTAACATTACAAATAAGGTCCTTAAATATTGACACATTGTCAGGAGACACTCTGTACTATGATAGAGACTATCTAATATCAGAGGTATAGGCGACAAACACAACAATTTGGCTGTACACCAACCTTCAGGTGATCAGTTGTCATTTCACTGGCAGATTCGTTGCTACCATTTCAAGCTAAGAGCTGCAAAAATGTGCCTATTAGCTTTGTAATGTCTATTTGCATATAAGAACTTGAGAACAGCTGAATACATTTTCATTAAATTTGATACTGGAAAGTTTATTTATTTTACTTAATATACATGAAATACACATGAGCCGGGATAGCTCAGTCAGTATAGTGACTAGCTACGGGTTGGACGACCGGGGTTCGATCTCCGACGGGGGCAGAGGATTTTTCCTCTAGCCTCTGCATCCAGACCGGCTCTGGGGCCCACCCAGCCTCCTCTACAATGGGTACCGGCATCCTTTCCCGGGGGTAAAGCCGGCCGGGGCGTGATGCTGTCCACTCACCCCCATCTAGTGCAGAGGTCAAGGAAGAGAGGAGCTATACCTCCACTCACCCCCCAAGCGCCTACATGGCGTATAGTGGGACAAACTTTACTTTACTTTTACATGAAATACACAGTAAATTACCTAACTTGGTTCTGCATTTGTTGAATGGGTCTGCGCTGATCCTCTACACTGTGCAGCTGCAATTGGAACCTCATTCTCTGAAGTCGCTCAAAAGCTTCCTTGCGACGTGGTTCAACATACAGTAGTAGATTGTTCACTATATCCAATATCATCGCATACTAAAGAAAACACAGTTACCTTTAATCATCTTTAACTGGCATGCGCTTCACTTCTAATCATCACATATACCAATATTCTAGCATGTCACCGAAGATAAGAAACAGAAGAATGTAGTAAGTCCATGACTAAACCAAATATACAAGTATTGATCAATGAAAATTTGGACATTTGATGATTTGCATTCTTTGGCTGGTATTGTTAGGCTCTGTAATAAAGCAGTATGAGATGTACGAAAGCAAATATGATTTATAAACCTTCAGGTAAGAGGAAACCTAGGCACAAATTATGCAGAATATCAAAATCAATTTCATGTAACGGTAACAAAGATCACGAAGAAAAATATTAAATATAACACTGAAATCAATTTTACACAGTTATAAGAGAAAACATGAACACAATTCTGATTTATAAACATCATGGAATAAGGTCACTTGGGAGACCTATTCAGAAAACAAGAAATTAATTAAATTGTTCACTGTGGCTTGCAATCATACAAGCTATGTCAGCAGTATTTTTCAATGCAACTCACATTACTGCGTTCAAATGACATTTATCATATCCTTGATGGGAAGTATATCTGCTGACTATAAACATAAGGATTAGCCTATATAAGATGTAATCTCTTCCACAACATGCTGTAAAATACAGCTTTCTTCTTCAACCTGTATAATGTTTGTACACAGCATTGTCAAGTTATTAACCAGCAGCCAGTATATATTAGACAAATACCAATTGTTAAATATCATTTAACTTGTATTTGTTGAATTTAAATGTGAGGACAAATATCAAGTCAGAAAGTAGTGTAAAAAGTGAAATGAAATAAAAAAATTCAAATTTATTTAAGCAACCAAAAAATTTTAAACTAACAAAATTTACACAGTGAAAGAATTAAAACTCATTTTAAGTAAATAATATCTACGGGGAAAGAACTGCAATGAAATGGTTCAATGACAGACTGGTGGAACTAGCAATAAATGTCAGGGTTTCATATCAATCGGAAGTTTCCTGAAGAACTGGCTAAATATCAACTTCACAACTCCCATTATCACTATGCAAATAATCATTACGTTGCATATAGAAGTCCAGTACCTGCAGTGAATTGGTGCATACATCTAGGTCATGATGCATCAGTGTGAAGGCATCCACTGCCCTCTCTCTCTTCTCCCATGGACCCCCTTCGTCAATCGGAGGAGGCGGCACTTCATCCACAGTACTCGGGTCAATACTACTCTCCCCATAGCCAGCATAAAAGAACTCACACTTGCACCGAGACACTATGCGTTGCAACTACACAAAGAAACAACATTGAAAAGATGTACTCCTTGATGTGCACTGAAATTCCAGTGGTGTTCTTCATGTCACATCACGGGTGATGTCAACAGAGCAGCCTAAAGCATAATAAATGCAACAGTGGTATCCAGGGAAATATTATGCCAAGCAGTTTTGTAGATGTTGAACGATGTTTCAGAGATGCACGTCTGATAAGATGGGGAAGCTTCTATGAGACTACATAGTGTGATATCCCAATTCTTTTGTGTTAGAGACAAGAATATGGAAGGAGAGATGCACAAGTTTTCCTACCTGTATTGGTGGATTTTCACCAATGTTGCTGCTTGCACCCACAGTCTCGCTAACAACCCCACCGACGGACTGCCCGCTGCCCACCAAGTGCGGCAGGTCTGGTACGTCAGCTATCACTGTCGAGTCCTTCTCTTGAATATTCTCAACAGACAGCCACATGATGTTTTCTGTATTCATAAATGGTAATTAATAATGCTGATTCTTAACAGTGCTTTGTAATTAATTTTAGCTCTTCATATAAACTATCCATTAACGTTGTCAAACTCTGACTGACACTGGAAATTACTGACAAATTTTAGCAGAAGTTCCCTATATCAAATTTCAAGACAATCCATTCAGCCTTCTCAAGCTTCTGCATGTGGACAGGCAGACAGACAAAAAGACAGGGCAAAGCTAAGGGGTGCATTTTTTAAACTTTCAGTCAAGGACACATTCAAAAGGTAAAGGTGGGAAGAGAAATGGTACCATAACTTAACGTCAAATTAAGGATGAGCGAACACAACCCAGATATGACAGGTGCTTTGTTTCCCTCCGAACCACAACTATGAATGTCTACTCACCATCTAAAGAGTCACTCTCTCCTGCACTGACAGTCGCATAGTACTGCATGCACTCGAGGGACCCCACCCAACTTGTCTTTGACACCAATGTCCTATCTTTCCAAGCCGGACGATGAACACGCTGCAATATTTCTGCTTTAGCTGCACTCAGGATCACATAGCCCTTGGTCTCACAGCCTTTCAACAGAACCTGGCTGTTTACTAGCGCAACTATAAAAAATAAAGCACAGTTTATTAAGAGTTATGTCACAAGAACATTCACAGCAATCTGATAAATTAGCCTTGAGAATGTAACTGGTTCCATTCTAATTAGGAAGCACAGGGGGAAGATTATAAGCGTTTTTTTTAATTTGCAGTTTATTTAATAATGTGGTCGGTAACTCAGACTGTATAGTGTCAAGTGATAACAGGATTGATAAACAAGACTGGAAGGTGTACTCTTTGGAGTGCACTAAAATTCTGAAGACATTCTTTATGCCACATCATGGGCAATGTCAGCAATGCAACAAAAAAGTGAACAAAAGTGATAAGGTCCTCTGGCATGGTCTGCATCAATTAAGAATTAATTTTAGAAATACGAATCCTTAGGTTTTTGGTTCACCTCCCTGAATTGGAGATCAGTCCATTACAAATCCCTAACACAGAAATATGCAAACCCATATATATGCCTCAAGAAGAAATTCAATCTACAATTCCACTATCTGGGAGGTGAAAAACTGTAAATTCCTTGCAATAAAGTGACTGAAAGTGGCATTTTTTCAGTTTTAAATTATACAGGTGCACCCATATAACACAGATTGGAGAACAATACTAAAATGAATCACAAAGCAATAAGATGGGGAGGTGTGGTCTGTACTCTTCTGCATCAGGACAGGGCCCAGTACATGGCTCTTGCAAGCTCTGTAATAAACCTTTGGCTCAATAAAAGGTGGAGATTTTTTTACCATTCAGTGAAGACCAAGTTCTTAAATGGGACTTTGCTCCTTTGAATAGGGTAACAGCATGCAAGAGAGATGGAGATAACACTTTGAACAGGAACAGATGGACAGTCTGACTCTGATATCAAAGCTCTATGTGACATGAAAAGAATTTCATTTATGGGGAAAGATGGGGAGGGGCCTTAAACAAAATCCTCATGCTAATCCTCTTGATGCACTCTTTGCACAAATCACATGAAATAAACAAATTATCACAAAGTTACATTCATCTACCTGCATGTTATATCTCCAATACATCTGTAGTGTGGTACAGGAGAACTACACTAAAGTTGTCACGTGAGTTTAAAATTTGTCAGTTACAACCCATACCCTACATAACTCTCAATTCAAACTATATAAACATTTTCATAAACAGCTCAATATAAAAAATATTCATACATAACATAAAAAACAGTCTCATTAACATCTAGAATTTTGTTTTCCTTGATGTGGTTATATTTGATGTACTACACGAACAAATAACTTTTGGCTCTGCACAATGTAATATCTGCCTCATAACCGCACACTCTCTCACTCTCATTCGTATTACCTAAAACTTACTGAGCCAATTCTTATGTTGCACGTCATCCTCCTGACATGCCGCAAGACCCTGCAGATGTTGGTCTCTGGTTTGTACAGACAAGTCATCACTGAACACCACTGCCTTGTTGTCAGCCTCAGCAATTAGCTGCTGGAGCATGGTAGCTGCATGGCCAGACTGCAGTTTGGTCATCGGTGAGGGGGTCGCCTGAACCGTGGCAGGATTCTGTCGGTGGAAACACACTACTTTAACATGTTACAACATGCTGCGTTTACCGAAATACCACATGCACATTTTACTAAAATTTCTGCAAAATGTAGCAGCTGCCCATCATATTCAAGGATTAAATGTGGGCAGCACAAAGTGCTACCTATTAGTAGCTAATGAACTATTCATGCTGCCATCAATTTGTGAATTGTGAATTATGATAAGGTGAGGTGTAAAGAAATGTTGAGCATTCTGCAGAGTACACCATTCCAATCTTGATTTTAATTCCTTAAAGCCATGACCCAATCTTATCTTCTCTTATTGTCTAATGTTTGTTTCTTGAGAGGGTAGACACCACGTAGAATTTGAGAGGGTTTTTGTAAAAGCTTGTTTTGTGCTCCCTGGCCATTACCACATATTACTGTATATATTTGTTTAAAAAATATATTACAAACATTTCTGTTCTTATTATATTCATTGTAAATTCATAATATGTATATATATTTTTATTTTTTCTGTCAACTGAGCTTCCACCTTATTTTGCACCACACTTAAAAATGGGGGTGGCCCCATTAGATTCAATTAGTAGAAGAAGCAGTAATTATATAAAATATATAAAATTAATGATTTAAATGTAAAGATGTGTCCAACCTTCTGTGCAACAACTTTCAACTTACATTCAAACCTGATAATGGCCATATTGGGCTGAAAAAAAATGAAACAAGTGAACAGTGTGTAAAAGTGACCAAGAAGAATCAAGTGGAAGGACTACCAGAACAGAACATATAGAAACTCTGTTTATTAACAACCTTTACAAGAAACTTCAGGGAACACTGTCTAAACAAGTTCCTATGGACACCCTACCCAGACTCTTACATCCTCTGCAACCTATAATAATGATGTGTCAATAGAAACGTCATTTTGTTCAACAGACACTACCTGAATGGAATTGCTTGGTGAGGGGGCTACAGGTCCTTCAGATGCACGTGTACGTGATTTAAGCGGTGTGGATGAAGTTTCACCTCTGAATCCCTTCAATGCTTCTGTTGACAAATTCTTCTTTAATTGCTGTAACACGTAAGTTTACATAACAATCAGTTCTCAAGAAGTTCTCTATCAGTGTAGCTGGTTCATCAGTGTCATGGTTTAAATCCTATTATTGCAAGACAACAGACTGGTCTCAAAGAGGTACCAAAGTGTCATGAGAGTGCTTGCATAATGACACCACAGGTGTAACAGTAATTTTGTTTGAAAATCATGTGAACTTAGGTTTTATCACCTGTGAGGAGTTTCAACAAAAAAATTCTGCTTATCTTGAAGTTATTTTCAAAGATTATGACACAAATGGAGTTGACTTTCTGTTTATCCATTAACAGGTGAAAAAATGTGGCAGAGACCACCTGTATGTTTGTCTTCTCCAATGGTTACTTATGTTACGTATTTATAAAGCTTTATAAAGATTGGATTGAAACTTCTTACAAACTCCTTGTTCTCTTGAATTGCTCACTTATCAAAATCATAAAACATGTTGTACATATTTAGATGTGTTAAAATTTGTGTCCAGAGATGATCAAACATATTCAATCAAATATTTACAGCATCTCACTTTTTTAAATTGTGATGGGGATTCATGCCAGCCGATGTGATGCAATGGCCACAGAAAAAACAATGAGGAATTTAAACTGGCTGTCTGGTACGAGAATATTACATCCTTATTTATTTAACCACATATTCAGAGAATTTTACTTTATTCTTCAAAATGTCTTGTCTACAAGTAGACATGTGTAAATTATGCAAGTAAATGCAGTACTTTGATGAGGCACGACCATGTATACTCAATTCTGCAACGGTATGTAACTTGAGGAAATGGTTGAAAATAAGCGAAAGAAAAGAAGAAAGTTCCAAGTCCTTCAATTACATATTTGACAAATGAAAGGCAGTAACAGACAAATTTATAGCAGCTACCTTTTAGGCTTGGAAATAAGATTTATATTTTGAAAAACCAACAAAACTTCAATGAACATGACTAAATGATGAAGGTGGTTATTTTCTGGGTTGTAGTGCCATGTAGTCTGATAGATGTTTACCTCCACCAGACTACAAGACGCCACAACCCACATGATAATCATCTTCCTACTCAACGCCATGAAAACCTCAAATTCTACACGATGGAATTATGACAAAACAACACCACAGTACCGTCCTACTACATACTGTGTGTGGGATCCGATTAATGGCGAGAAGTAAAATGGCCAACCCCAATGTCAGTAGTGGAAGCAGAATATATTTGAAAACATTAACCATTAAGTACTGAGATGCTCATTGATGCAGTATAACACAGGAATTTAACTGTTGTGCCCTTAGACATCTGACAGGCCAATGGGTGCACAAAATTTTGTCATGTAGCCTGTGGCATAATAAACGTGTGCTGCACTGCTGCAGGCTATAAAAACCTCATATTCCTTTCGGTATTATGTGACAATACAAAGATGAAATCAATGAACACTTCATTTCATACTGCAGTCAAGTGGTTAGCACTTCTGCTTCAAATGTAATTCTCTCAATTCCCTCAGCTACTTTGGGCACATGCTTAGACAGGACCAAGTAACAAGCCACAACTACCTGATATACAATCAACCCCCCCAACCCCCAATCAAACTCTATGATATTTAACCAGCCTCGAGAGAAAAACTAAGAGACAAATTTACAATCTTTCTGACATTGTGCCATACCTTTGTCTTCACAAATGTGTCAAAAAGTGCAAATGCCACATCTCTATTACTTTTTGTCCAGGCTCCTTTTAGATCATACACAACAAGTCGATGGGTTGGCATATCCTGACAGCTACTTGCACATTCACTGGTATTCAGGAGGTCTCCACGATTTGGTAGGATTGTTGCACGACCATAAGACACCTTGGCAACACTAAGACAGTAACATTTCTCGACAGGCTGCCTCAGAGACATATGCTGTTAATGCAGACAAATACCATAATTAACTCATTAACTTCAAAAATGTATAAATTTTATATATATATGTATATATACACACACACACACATATTAACAATAATGATATTACAAGCATTCATCTTTGATGCAATGCATTTTTGGGTTCTGAAGGATATCTTAAGATAACAGAACAGACTTTGTAACAAAAAGACTCTGCAAACCAAGAGAAAAGCAATATTAGGAAGGAAAATTATTAACAAGTAATCAGGGCTTCATAAAACTAACTCTGACATTGTCATCTTTTATGGTAAGTAAATTATAATACGAAATTCACTGTAACGAAAAATACATAAAGTTATTGAATCATCCTAAGTTAAATATATAAAATAAACTATTTAAATTTAAGAACAATTTCTGCATATAGGTACGTCATAATACCTTTGGAAATATTATATTTCTCAAACACAGAAATGAAGCATGAAGCTTCTGAAACCTAAGCATTTTCTGACACATTAAATGTATCAGAGATTGTCAACTACAGCACCAATCCATGGTGCAAATGATAAAGAAAGCAGCATCAGTACCTCCTTCCCTGGTTCCTCTTGCAGGGCACTTTTCAGCCAGATCTCAGCATCATTCAATTCACAGTTCATATACATGATCGACCACTCAGCTCGTGGACGGTGTTTCAACCCACCTTCCATTGGTACCAAGGTCAAGATGTGCTCTATAAATCCACATGTAACATAATTTTCAAGTCAAGACCTCACAGCCTGGCTATCCACATATTAAAATCCTTCTTGTATTATTTATCGACATTCTATAGCATCCCTTTAGAGAAGCTTGTGGTGGCTTAACTCAGAATGCCATTCTTAATTAACCAATTGCATTAATCCTAAACTATGTATAAATAACAATGACCAGAAGAAGGAATGACAAGTATGCAGCAGAGCTACAAAATAAGACTTGCCAGTGAGTGGCAAGTACAGGATCCTGCAGTTCTGCATGCAGACTTTCCATTCTGCTTATTCGAAAGAAGCCCCCTGTACAAAGATGTACTGAAGAGTTGTAGATCAGATCACGTGTAAAAAATCTCCTCTTAGATGCAGTGGCATAGATAAAGAATCCATAGTCAATTTATGTATGAATGAGACAGTGGTAAAACCTAAGCAAGGCCATTTTGTCCGCTCTCCATAAGGCACATGTTAAAAAAGGTAAAATGTTGAATGATCACTGACACTTTGTCCAGAGCCGCTGCATGTGTGGTTGTACATCAGGTGGCCATCTAAAATTTGTCCCAAAAATCTACCAGCCTCTGCAAATACCAGAAGTAAAAATTTTGGGATGTGAAAATATTTCCCTGAGTCAGTAGAAATGGACATGCACAGTCTTCACAATAAATTATTTAAAACTCTTTTCCTAACTCCGCTGTGACCACCAGTCAATCGTTAGCTGGAGTTACCATTCAATGACTGGGAGAGATTGGGGCCTGTAGCAGATGGCAAAATGATGTACATATACGAAGCACATTACAGGGTGATAAACCCTACTTATGATTTCAATAATGGCAAAGAGGGAATCACTGAGGAAAAACCTGTAGGTGATGCCTTTCTCCTGTGTGCATGGAGGGCATAAAAAGAATGGCTGTTGGTGGTTGTCATCAAGGTTTCAGAAAAAAACTAATTAATTCCTTGAAATATTTTTAGAGTTCCACCTCCAAACTTTCAGTGTGTCAGACATGTATTAACCTGTAATATTTATATTTTTTCTTCCTTTACCAGCCCCGCATGTATTTCGAGTCCACACAGACGACTGTACACAGAACAGGGTGTTCACGAAGCAAATGAATTCAAGGGATATAACTTTAGCAAATAAGGAGAGCTGAATACTTAGAAACATGGAAACCAAATACATTAAAGCTGGTAAGGACAACAGCTTAAAATAAGCATGGTGATGTTTTAACCATTGACACAATTTTGTGTATGTACCTGAACAAGAAGAAATACGTCCGCCAAGGAGTTCGAACCCTCTCTGCATGGCAAATGACATCCAGTAGTACACCTGAAACTTGTGCAGACCCAACAAAAGATGCGCTTTTCGATAATGGCGACTTAACTGAATCTTACGTGGACGTAAGTTTTGAAATACTGCACCACGCCTCGTTGGTCGAGTTACGCCTGACAAAATCAGCTTCAAGTTTTCAAACCATCTACAAAAGGAGAAGTTAATTCACTGTTTAAATATAGATTAATTAAGCTACTTCTGCAAATGAACATTCTAATTTCTATGCTCTTGTATTGAAGTAATATGATTTAAATTTGATAATGTAAATATACATGAAGAAAACATTTCTATACACAGTATCCAACAGAACATCTGCTAAACTTAGGGCAGTTATTCACTGGTTTATTTTGAGTGAAGAATGTTATATCAGTGTGGGTCAAAATATCAACTGTTATGTGGTTATGATGGATGGAAAGGGAGGAAACAAAACGAACCCAACAGATAAAATAAAATTATTGTTACAGATACTAGGGAGACATGTGCCATTTGAACTGCATGATGTTTCCAGCAGATTCTCAGCTAGGATGCTCAAGTGGAATCAAATGATTTTGAATTCACTCAATTGAAACAGACAGACCATTAACTTTATTGGCCAAGCTGGGCCCCTTCTATGACCTTCTCTGTATAAAGTGACCACTACACAAACATCAAACAATCTGGATGTACATAGTCACTTGAGAGTTGATTGTTGACAGGGTTGGAACAACAGAGCAAAGAAGCAATAAAAATTTAAATCCAAAACAATTAATGCCATTACATAATTTAGGCAGAAGATTGAGTGAGCAAGGTTCGTGATTCATAACTGTAAAGAATTGCAAGCAAGAACATAATTTGTAATCATTGTATGATTAATAAATCCACATTTCAAACAAGGATTCCAGCAACTTATCACTGATATTCTTATTATTTTATTATCCCATCTATTCACCACTTTATGGGGTATGTACTTTCATGTACCCGAGACAGACCTTGTCCCTAAGGTACATAGGGCAGCAGCTATTTCCAGGATACATATTGTTTTTAGCAAGTCAGGTTTCTGCTTAACAGAGACAAAAAGAATGTACTACACAAAAAACACTGAAAGTGTTCATCATCCAAATTACTGAGCAGTTCTCTATGTTTCATGCCAATTTCCCTTCTTTAATTTGTTTTTACTTTTCCCAGTAGTCTGTTAAAGTATTCTGCAAGTCTGGCTGGAGCATCCTGACAAATCTGCCATGGCCAAACCCAGCAAGCATCAATTCGGACCACTGCATTCAACTCCAGCAACCACAATCCTCTCCACCAAATCTAGTTACAACTGTGGACTGGTTTATTAGGGAGGTCTCTGAGACTCAGCTAAACCCATACATGAACAGAGAGGATGGTCTCTGTCTGAGCCAGTCATGGAAGACCCTCATCCATTCTCTCTAAGACGTAGGAAGCATCTGATAAGAGCACTGCCAGTCCTGACCTGGCCACTAGGCCACAACACTGTTCTTTTCAAGAAGCAACCTGGCACCATCTAGTTTCTTAATTCCTCTAATATTTCGAATTATTCCATCCATTTTCTCCCCCTACATCTTCTTTCCCGCCATCCTCAAAACCAGGCTGTGGTATGCCCCCCTCCCCTATTGGCTCCTGGGCCTTGCCCCATCATGACAATCCCCACTGGTCTGGTCAAGGTTCTGCTTTAACTGACAGGTTCCTTCCTCTCAAACCAATTCCATGCACGCGGCTTACTCAATGCTCTGAATATATGGAGACAGCGAGGACCTCTAAAACACCGGTAACTTCTACCAGACTACGTGGCGCTACAACCCATAAGGCAGCCTTCTTCATACACATCACTGTGAGAACCTAGAATCCTGCTTAGTTATATCTTCAACATTACAGCGAGAACTGACATGAAAAGTAAAGCATGCATGGCCACCTGGCTGATTCTTACGATAAGAAGATTACCTTAGCGTACTGCCATACAGAAGAACCACAGGACAATCAAATTCTGCTGGGGTTCGATTCCCCACTGACTTGGTCTCCAAAGCAATGCTTACGTTTAGATTTTGGGACCGAAAAGAACGAAAAGAATCATGTTCCTGAAACAAATTTTTTATTAACACTATAATAAATTATACATGAACATTCCATACAAAGAAAGCCTTTGGGGAAAACACAGCCAGTAAAACTGGAGAGAAATTGGAAGTGCAAATCAGCTGAAATTCCAGACATAAAAGGAGGGAGAGATATACGTTTGATTCAGATACATCAGCTTTCTTCATTAAGCATAAGAACGTGGTCGTTTGTTAGGTGCAATTTATTTTCTTATCAGTATTGTTTACAGTATAACACAGATGAAACAGACAGGCACACTTATTTTTTCAAGCCAAGGAATAACACAACATAATCATCTGCCTATAGTGCACAGTTTTCTGCTACCCTCGCTATGTGGGCGAGTCCCTTGCTACCACAACATGTTGTATCATCAGGATGTGCATGCAGGAAACAGCTTCCAGATACAGACAGGAGGTGTGAATATCCTGAAGAAGCAGTTGCAAGCATCTGACACAGGGATCCTCCACATTGGGGACTGAGGGCACGATAACCCCCCCCTGGCAAAAACTGTCACTTTACAAACTGCTACATGAAGTCCCAGTTGTAACAGGTTCTTCGGAACAAACAAAGCAATGGAAAACGGACATGAGGTTTGGAATTAAAATTTCAAGAGCCTCTGTAGACTGGGATCAACAAAAGCAGTTTCAGGAACATTATAAAACGTTAGATTTAGTGCAAGTATGGGTCAGATGGGGTAAAGTATTGGGATGGAACTGAACCAACAGATTATTACACATTCTCCAATGGAAATGGAAATGTATACCATCACTTAGGAACAGGCTTTTATGTAAACAAGGAAACCATACCATCAGTTAAGAGGCAGAGTTTGTTACTGATAATATGCCAATTATAATACTAACAAAAGAGTTATCTATGGTCAACACTGCAGTTTTACACAACACTTTGTGCTAAGTGGAGCGGTTTCATCTCTGCATTCACCAAGAGAAATTAAGGGAAACCAAGATAAAAACAAGCAAGTTGGCTCAAACAGTAACATTTCAGTTTATATTAAGTTTCCAACTCAGTGTATACATGGTGAACACAAGGCAAATCACAACAAAAACTGGGAAATTTGATTAAGCAGTTAACACTTCAGCTTATGTCAAGGTTCTAACTCAGTACTGAAGTGGAAAAACAAAGGAAAACCATAACAGAAACAAAGAAGTTGACTTAAGCAGTAACATTTATAATTTGAATTTGGAAGGTGCCTGAATCGCAGCTGTCTGCAGTTTTCCAGTCCCTGAATGGCAATCCTGGGCCAGAATTGCTCTGTCCTACTGAATGTACTCACGAAACACTGAACAATGTCTGCAGCTGATACAACATCATTAATAAACTAAAAACTTTGGTCAAAACAGATTGTAAAGAAGCTGACAAATTAAAACATGGAAATGTAACCTTTAATATTGTTTTATTCATATGAATAAAACAGGATCAAAGGTAATTTGAAGAGAGGGAAGAAAGGTAAGGGGTAAACAGATGAAAGCATGTGGAACCCTGGAAGACGAGTAGCCTTGCAGCTGTATAATGCGTTTATTATCACACAATATTCCATGTTACCTGATTGCTGGAATATTCAGGCAATTTGTCTGGAGCACAAGGCATCACAATATGGTGATCATTTGGGTCACCCAGACACATCCAGTTCAATTTAATTGTAAGCTTCAAATTTGGTAAGTGCAGGAGACGGCAGTCATCATACTTTGAGGCTGTTCTCACGTACACATTCAGCTCACCTTTGAATACCACCTTAGCTGGACAAAAAGTAGAAACCACATGTACAATTAGAGAACACAGATTTGATCATAAATGAGTACAAATTTAAATCTTTAAAATATTCCCAATTACACAACAAAGGTTCATAATGGTGAGTCTGAGATAATCTTGGAGATACAGGTGACAATAAGTAATATGAGTTGTAAGGCGTATTCCAACATAGTATACATACATTAAAAATGTCTTGCTTCAGAATTATCAGGCCCCACTGTTTATGATTTTAATGTATTTCAAAGTTAATCACACTACAGGCATCACATTGATTGCCTCACAAACTAGTAACCTTTGTGTCTGTTTAAACGCTCACCCTATATAAACAGAGCTGATACCTGAAAAATTACTATCACACTCCACTTCAAGACGAAGCCTGCACACAGACAGTCTGTATGCGGTCATTACTACCAACTGTAAATTTTGCTGCAAGAATTCAAAACAACACTAGCGCAGCAACAGGAAAAATTGTTGTGGATACTGTACGATTCAGCTCATCTTTTATATCTCTCATAACAAATGGACTATCATACATACATGTATCTTTATTACAGTCAATGGATTATTAAGTTAGTCACATGATGATGGATAGGATATGGAAGAAATAATAACAATACAATACATTTATACAAGTACAATTCAAACTCTTATCAAGATCTGACAAAAAATAAATAAAGGTTTCACATAAAGCAATGAAACATTACAAATACATCCACCCATTACATACACTAGATAAATTATACTACCCATTTATATTACATAGACAATTAAAAATTTATAAACATCATGACTTGTTTGTGAATAATAGAAATCCATCAACAGAGTAAAATGAGTGTGTAATGTAGTATCTCGTTAAAGCTACTCCAAACTGTGCCATTTTATTTATCAGACCACATATCTCTAAGAATGCAACAGCACAATAAATTCCATACTAATCTTACTGCTTACCATTAGTCCAATCCATGGCAACTTCACTCCATGTAAGTTCCATCTCCTCAGTAGTATTGTAAGGATCAAGAGACGCATGTAACAGTACCGTCATTTGGCGGACCCACATGGTCAGACGTCCGTGGAAAAGGAGCCTCATTTTGTCCCAGAATGGCAATGGCGGACTTGGATCTTGTGAAGGTGTCAATATTTTCTCAAAGCCTATAGTGAGGAATAAAATGTCAGCCACCAGTTACACACGCCTTATTTATTTTACATTTCTTAGTCATAAAACCATAGGAAACTTACTAAGATTGCACTGAGCTATAACGGGCTCCCAGCATGGACCAAATGCATAACTGTAGTGTTCAACTTCACAATTTAAATCATGGTAGAACTTGAGCGAAGTCATGCTTCTTTCAACCGTGGCATCTCCCCAAGGTTCGCCCAACTCTATCACAACACCACGTTTTGCTGGAATCATGAAATTTTAAAAAGGTACAAACTACCAAGAAACAGAATTGCAGTAACTCTGAAACTATACTCTCAATATCTGGAAGCTGGGTACATTTTTGGAAATAACTTCTTGACTTTCTCTTATTCCATCTGTTTCATTACATCTCTTCAAAAATAATGGAGAAAGTCAGCTCTGAGAAGAGACCAAAGTTCTTCTAATTGCTCCCATATTGGCCAAACATCCACCACACACAACACAGAGCATCCCACTGCTCCAATATCCTGAAGGAGAAATACTGAGGTGAAGCCATTATTTAGTCAGCTCCTCTTGAAGATGGGGGCATCAAATGGGAGTTCAGCTCACCACAACACAGTGACACTTGCACAGTTCTACTTATCATTTGAATCACGCCTGCTGTCTTCGCCAGGTTTCGTACAAGATGGCCTTAACACCTGACTTCACTTTTGCTGCATGATCAGTGCTTAGGTGACAGTTCTTGAAAACAAAATTACACTCTCAGACAGCCAAAATAAAGAGAAACTTGCACCTTGTAGCACAACTAATAGTTCAATTAACAATGTAACATTCTGACCTTGCATTATTATACATTCTTTGCATAAAGTACACAGCAAGAATGCATTATAAGCCGGTAGTGTCTGTCCGGCCATCCAGTTGATTCAACTCGAGAACCACTGGACGGATTTGGATGAAATTTGATGTGGAGGTTGTGCTATTCTGCAAGACCTCAAAATCATACTTTTGAATATCCTATGAGTGGTGATAACAAAATGATGAATAAGGAAAGTCCTGAGGTAGACATTTTAGTGCTGCAATCTGGAGTCCAAAATGAGAACTACCGAACAAGGCGGATTTAATGCCTCTAAATATACAACGCAAAGAATGCACGAGGATAGCATGTGTATTCTGGTGTGGAATGCTTCATAAACAATGGGAGACTGCTTTGATGCAAAGTAATGTTTGAGAATGCACCATGTTTGCACGTGTACAGCTTTCATGCAACCAGAATGAGAAGTGGCCTTGCAACCAGGGTGACTCAACTTGAATAAGACAACAATAAGCCAACCCGTAACAGACATTTGGACATGGGAAGTGCTTGTCTCTGAAAAGTGCTCACTGAGTGGCAAAACAGCTGAAATTATGGCTCTACCTTATTTCAAGCAGTGCATAAACAGCAACAATGGGATATGGCTGCAAGAATCCAATACTGTCACTGATTATACATAGCTTTGTGCATGAAGGAGTTCATGCGTCATAGTAAGGGTCACATTTTAAATGCAACACTCCATATAACTAAAAACATTATATCTATGGTTTGATTCACAATAATAAACACATCATCCTGAAGGAGAAATACTGAGGTGAAGCCATTATTTAGTCAGCTCCTCTTGAAGATGGGGGCATCAAATGGGAGTTCAGCTCACCACAACACAGTGACACTTGCACAGTTCTACTTATCATTTGAATCACGCCTGCTGTCTTCGCCAGGTTTCGTACAAGATGGCCTTAACACCTGACTTCACTTTTGCTGCATGATCAGTGCTTAGGTGACAGTTCTTGAAAACAAAATTACACTCTCAGACAGCCAAAATAAAGAGAAACTTGCACCTTGTAGCACAACTAATAGTTCAATTAACAATGTAACATTCTGACCTTGCATTATTATACATTCTTTGCATAAAGTACACAGCAAGAATGCATTATAAGCCGGTAGTGTCTGTCCGGCCATCCAGTTGATTCAACTCGAGAACCACTGGACGGATTTGGATGAAATTTGATGTGGAGGTTGTGCTATTCTGCAAGACCTCAAAATCATACTTTTGAATATCCTATGAGTGGTGATAACAAAATGATGAATAAGGAAAGTCCTGAGGTAGACATTTTAGTGCTGCAATCTGGAGTCCAAAATGAGAACTACCGAACAAGGCGGATTTAATGCCTCTAAATATACAACGCAAAGAATGCACGAGGATAGCATGTGTATTCTGGTGTGGAATGCTTCATAAACAATGGGAGACTGCTTTGATGCAAAGTAATGTTTGAGAATGCACCATGTTTGCACGTGTACAGCTTTCATGCAACCAGAATGAGAAGTGGCCTTGCAACCAGGGTGACTCAACTTGAATAAGACAACAATAAGCCAACCCGTAACAGACATTTGGACATGGGAAGTGCTTGTCTCTGAAAAGTGCTCACTGAGTGGCAAAACAGCTGAAATTATGGCTCTACCTTATTTCAAGCAGTGCATAAACAGCAACAATGGGATATGGCTGCAAGAATCCAATACTGTCACTGATTATACATAGCTTTGTGCATGAAGGAGTTCATGCGTCATAGTAAGGGTCACATTTTAAATGCAACACTCCATATAACTAAAAACATTATATCTATGGTTTGATTCACAATAATAAACACATC